GAGGTTGGTATACTCACTGGTTCTCCAGCAGAGTTTGAGGTTGGTACACTTACTGGTTCTTCAACAAAGTTTGAGGTTGGTATATTTACTGGCTCTCCAGCAGAGTTTGAGGTTGGTACTGTGACGGGCGCGGCTTCAGACCCCAGCCCTTCTCACCAAACTCGTGACCGAAGAACTAGCCAATCTAAAACCGCGCTGTCATGTGCGTAACAATGCCACATCAAGCTGCACCCTGCACAACTATTTTCCAGCTAATTGGACCACAATATATGTACCGGCAGCCTGGGAGCGATTGTTACTGGGTCAGGTTAATTACGCAATTAACCCTTCACACTGCCACCACCTCCTTTTTATACAGAGAAAGAGGAAACTCAGCAATACACTAGGATGAATAGTTAACCGTCAGTATCCCGCTATCTCTACAGACCGGTTATACAGAGGGTTAAATACTCATAGTAGCGCTCTTCAGTGGCAGGGATGCGTATAGCTATAGAAACAGTTCAGCACTTTTAGAAAGTAAGATGTATTACCAAAAGGTCGAAAGGGTGCAGTAAGAATATTTACAGACAGAAGATGTAACCAATATAAATATATATGTATATAAATATACAGAGCACAACAGCACAGCAAACAGATAACAGAAAGAAGTTTAGGTAAGTAAGTACTTGACAAATAAATGCCTGGGGTTAAGCAGTTTCAAGTCTGATGAGCTAAAAAGGGATTTTTGGTCTTGCACTCGGTTTCGTTATTGCAGCGAGATTCTCCAAAATGTAGAAGTTTGGGGTAAAATGGAGAACCGCACCTCTCCCTGTGGGCATGATTGTGACAGGTACACTCACTTGTTCTCCAGCAGAGTTTGAGGTTGGTATATATACTGGTTCTTCAACAGAGTTTGAGGTTGGCATACTCACTGGCTCTCCAGCAGAGTGTGAGGTTGGTACACCCACTGGTTTTCCAACAAGGTTTGAGGTTGGTATATTTACTGGTTCTTCAAAAGAGTTTGAGATGAGGGAATATGCTCAATACAGGAAGTGAACATGCAAGTACTGAATATCATTCCTGGAAGAGGCTCGTTTCAATGGCTGTCTTGTGTTCCCGGCTCCGGCATCTTCAGTGTGGGCACCTGGCTGTAACAGCTGGGTGACCACTGCGCATGTGTGAGTAGCGTTGCACATTCTGAATGGTCCTGTAGTCTTTGGGGACCTGTCACATGTGCCAGAAGACTATGAGGAAAGAAGAAGGGAGGACAACTTTCACTTCCGATCGCCTAGGCAATTGCAGCGGAAATGGGAGCAGGTACCTGTCAGTTTTGCATACCCACTCCCCAATGGTGCCAATCCTTAACGGGGAGTGGGGGAGCAGTCATTAAAATGGAACTTCCCCTTTTGGGTGGAGCACCGCTTTAAGGAAGGTTTAATCTGCGAGCAGGTTTTCGCTGCTGTCTTTGCAGGCAAGGTATCAGATCTAATCTAAAGGAACATTTATGTTATTTATGTAGAGCTTCACTGTAAATTGTAGCATTTGTCTGAGATAAAAATTTCAAATTTCAAAAGAAAATGGGATTTTTAACAGTGCAATATTCTTAGATATAAATGTTCACTAATGACATCATTCTGGGCCAAACAGACAGGCTGATAAAAAGTGTGTGATATTTACATTTGTAAAGTTATTAATTTATACATTATGTGTTCATTGCTTATAAAAAAGTAAATATAGTGCATGTTTATCCCTGTGCTGCATCTTCCCCATGTGTATGTATTTGCTTCTAATAAAGCAAATCTATTTTAGCAATATGTCTGTAGAGCAGACACTCTGAGAATGTTAGCAAAACCATGTATTTTTCTGTATGAAGTGGATCGTACGAGACTGGCCCTAATGAAAGCTCTTATTTATTCTTTATGAGTCATGAAAACGTTTATTCAAAACTGTTTTTTTCATTATAAAAAAACTGATGCCGCATCATCACACTGCAGATGAAATGCTAAAATCAGTCTTGTATTGGGAGTGCATGCTGTGCAGGAAGGTATTTGGGTGGATTTAAGGAAGCAACTTGCAGCTTACACAGGACCAGTGCTGAATTTTTAATTGGTCATAATTGCTCAGGCGCCTGGCCAGAAGGGACCTCCCTCTATACAAAAATATAATTAAACAATTAGTTTTATAAAACATTTTGCCTGCAGTCATCTGGAAACACTTTTACTCTGGTCTGGTCTTAGCCACTTACCTGCCAGGGAAATTTAAAAAACGTTTTTTCCAATGTTAAAATCTACATTTTTTGCTAGAAATTACTTGCAACCATTCCCCCTCCAAAAAAAGAGTATATATTTTCTTTGAAAGTGGAGAACCTAGAGAATAAAAGGGTTATAGTTGCAATTTCTCATATGCACAGCTATTTATGAAACTCATATTTTCAGGAAAAAAATACACTAAAACGAATTTTAGTGCAAACAAACACAATATTATACCAGTTTTTTGGTAAAATATAAAGGATAGGGTTGAGTCAAAAAAAATAGATACCAAACATGTCAAGCTTTAAAATTGTGCATACATATGAAATTGAAAAAAAAAAACATGATACACAAAATTCTCCATAGATGACGTTTTAAAAGCCTTTACAGGTAAATGCTACCTTCTTCACAGGTTGATGATGTTCTCTAAGAGTGGCTTTACTGTTCCTCCATGGACAAACAGGCATGAGCATAGTGATTTTATAACTGGAACTATGAAAGCAGCCTTATAAGAGGCCTATGATAGTAAGGGCTTGTTTACATTTGCGGTTTGGGGGGGGGGGGGCCTCTGTGTCTTATTCTGTTATATAATTGGACAGGAGGGGCCACATATATACAGGAACTGATCCTCTCCATTTTCCTCCTGCAACCACTGAAAGCTGGCTTCTCCTCTTCTTCCTCCCACTGCCATTCAGCGGGCTGAAGGAGGAAAATGTTCATTATGCTATTTAACCACTTGTCCAGTTCTGGGAGGGTGTCATATGACATCCTACCAGAATGCTCTTGTGCTCCCCCAGCGGCGCGCACCTGATGATTAGTGCCCTGATGATCAGTGCCCAGCAGTGTCAACCACCTATGCTCAGCAGAGCCACCCACAAGTGCCAAGCAGTGCCACCCACCTGTGCCCAGCAGTGCCACCCACCTGTGCCCATCAGTGCCACCCACCTGTGCCAAGCAGTGCCACCCACCTGTGCCCACCAGTGCCACCCACCTGTGCCCATCAGTGCCTAGCAGTGCTACCCACCTGTGCCCAGCAGTGCCCCCATCAGTGCCACCCATCAGTGCTGCCCAGCAGTGCCACCCATCTGTGCCCAGCAGTGCTGCCAGTCAGTGCCCAGCAGTGCCGCCAGTCAGTGCCATCAGTCAGTGCCACCCATCAGGGCAACATCATCAGTGCCACCTATCAGTGCTGCCTATCAGTGCCCATCAGTGTTGCCTATCCGTGCCACCTCATCAGTGCTGCCTATCAGTGCGCATCAGTGCCGCCTATCAGTGCCCATCAGTGCTGCCTATCAGTGCAGCCTCATCAATGCACATCAGTGAAGGAGAAAAATTTCCTGTTTGCAAAATTGTATAATAGAAACAATGAAAACTTTTTTTTTTCAAATTTTGTGCTCTTTTTTTTCTTTTTTTTAGAAGAAAAAACACCTTTTTTAAAAATTTTTTGGACATTTTCATTTACATAGCAAAAAAAATAAAAATCCCAGCAGTGAATAAATACCACCAAAAAACTTTTATCTGTCTCAAAAAAATGCTAAAAATTTCATATGGGTACAGTGTTGCATGACTGCGCAATTGTCATTAAAAGTACGACAGCCCTGAAAATTGGCCTGGGCAGGAAGGGGATATAAGTGCCCGCTAGGCAAGTGGTTAAATAACAAATTCTAAATTCTGAACCATTTAATTCATTTAATTTCATTGTATCCCTTGCTTTTCAAAAGGTTGAGCACTCCTGCTATAAAGCAACTCTTGTGAAGTGTGTCATGCATGTCAAACTGTATTTTATCCACATACAGCCATCTTCTTTGTTGCCCTTAACCAGTTAAGGATTTAAATTAAATAAAACCCCATCTGTTCTAATTTGCAACTTAATAGCTCATAACAAGTTTTATGGGCCTTTTCCCAAAAATAGATTCTGGGTTGCAGTTAACACAATTATGTTAATTACCAAATTGCAGTCATCTTTGTCTGAAATGTTTTTGTGGTCCTACAAAGACAAGATGTGGCCTACTGCAGAATGATTTTACTCAGTTTGGCCCGCTGTCTCTTTGGAGTTAGGCACACCTGCCACAGGCCAGCATTTAATAGAAACTTAAATGGAGGTTTCTGAAGTCTCTGTATATAACAATTCAGTGCAGCAAAATGCGTTGTCAAGACACCTAAGTGTAATTGACACCGCTTTGCCTTAATGTGATCCTCCAATCCCTACTTGATGGTTGGTAGAATTTCCTCTTAAATGGTGTCATACTGATTTGTTACCTTAGTCATGTATTTGTCTGGTAAACACAGCCACAAATTCCTAAAACTGCGGCAACTGAACCAACAGCCTGCATAAGCAGCGGGAGCCCGATCTGTCCATATACTGACAAATTATCACAAAACCATTAAATGGATCGATGTGCCCTACGCTGCCGAATTTATAAAGAAAAAGTCAAAATCTATTTTAGAGTTATATATTTACCCCAAATAAATACATACAAATAAATACAATCAGTCATATGATAAATAAAAATGATTTTATTATTTTGCTACAGTAAACGGTTAATAAAATGTTAATTGTCTACATTTCTCATTCTTTTGTCTGTTGAGCTTATTTTCAAGACCAGCTTCTTCACTTAAAAATACATTACAATACTTTATTCAATTACAAAAGGTTTCCCTTTAGGATGTAAATTATAATAACTACAGCTGTTATCTGGCTGCTAGCTTACACCATGGAACAGTCTAGTGCAAATAAAAGAACATATATAAAAATGTGTATTAAAAAAAAAACTATAGATGAGTGTCAGCTATGGGAATTCTCCGCAGTTCCACAATCTGTGAGTTAGCCATACCACTTCCATCTTGACTTCCATGGCAGGACTCCGTGTCGCTGATGTTCATACCTGACCCTAAGGACAATATGTCAAACATTAGTGCTTGAGTTATTCTAATAAGCATTTATTAATAAATAGAAATCCTACAAAAATGTTTTCACTATTAAAAGTATCATTCAATGTTTCCAGGCTATGGACATTTAAGCCAGTCAGCTTCTAACTTCAACTTGTTCAATCAAGCTTTGAGAAAAAAAAACCTGGAAGCTAAATGGTTTCTATGCAGAACTGTACCAGATTTTGCACTCTCAAGTTTTAGTAAATCAACCCTTAAAATCTGGTTTCAGACAATTTCTAATAGCTTAGAAACACCTGCTGTGGCTGTACAGCTGAGGGCTGGCAGGCTGCTAAGATTCTGCTATGCTAGAAAGTGTACTATAGTAAAAATCTGTGATTTCAGTATGAAATCTAAAAATTGAAGACACATTTTTCCACAATGCTTAGAGCTACAGAGGTGAATGTAAGTTTGTTTTAAAGTGCTTTTACTGCCTATTCAAAATATGGAAATATTTTGTATTTATAGTCTGGGCACAGGTTCGTTTTAAATGTAAAATTTAATACTCATAACTTTAGAATATAGACTTGAGAGTGGATAAGGCAGACGTTGAATTCAAGTGGTTGTAAAGGCTCAAGTTTTTTTTACCTTATTACCTTTATCTATAAAACCTTCTGTGTGCAGCAGCCCCCTCAATACATACTTGAGCACTATCACGATCCAGCAATGTGCATGAGAGCCTCAGCTCTCTGGGGGTTCTCCCTCCTCATTGGCTGAGACAGCAGCGGGAGGCATTGGCTCCTGCTGCTGTTAATCACAACAGTGAGTCAATGAGGAAAGAGAGGTGATGGGGCTGAGCCATGGCTCAGTGTGTGAATGAACACATGGAGCAGCGGCTCGGTAGCAGGCCTGCTTGGATGCCCCCATAGCAAGCTGCTTGCTCTGGGGGTCCTTACAGCCACAGTTGATCCAGAGGAAGGCAAAAACAAAACAGCAATGCATGATCCAATTTTCTCCTGTTGGGAAAAAAATTCCTTTCCCCGAGAGGCAATCGAATATTCCCTGGATCAACTTCACCTATAAATGTTAGTATCCAGTTATATTCTGTGTATCTAAGAAACAATCCAGGCCTTCTGTGAAGCAATCCACTGAGCTGAAGGGGATGATCAGCGCAAAAACTGTACAAAGTCCTGGGCTATCCTGGTGTGGGGTGCTGGTGATGTGGATAAACTTGGGTTGGCCCGTATGGCACTAAGGGCAATGCTTCCGAAAGTGCTGTAGCAGACTCTGTGGGTGAGACAAGGAGAAGAAGCACCTCTAAGTGCAGCATACCAATTTATTAAGGTTGAAAGGTAGAAACACTCACATGGTTGAGGTTAATATAAGCATTTAAAAACCGTAGTAGGTTGTAACATTGGTCAGATGGGTGTACAGGGTGAAGAGCTGTCATCAGAATGGAGGATGATGTAGTCAGCGTGCCGCTGGAACAGCGTGGTGGCTGGAGGGAAACAGCTGAGGAGCCGGTCGGCGTGCACGTCCTCCCTTCAGAACTGGGTGGAACGCACGCTGGAACGCAGTGGCGGCGTGGCCGTGATGATGTCAGACACCCAGAATACACTGCGCCGAGTTTCAGAGCATGCGCTGGCCTGCGAAGGCAGAAGTGCGCTCCTTTATCAAGCAGCCTGCATCCTGGGTGTCTGATGTCATCACGGCCATGCCGCCGCTGCGTTCCAGCGTGCGTTCCACCTGGTTCTGAAGGGAGGACGTGCACACCGGCCGGCTCCTCAGCTGTTCCCCTCCAGCCACCATGCTGTTCCAGCGGCACACTGACTACATCATCCTCCATTCTGAGGACAGCTCTTCACCCTGTACATCCATCTGACCGATATTACAACCTACTACGGTTTTTTAAATGCTTATATTAACCTCAACCATGTGAGTGTTTCTACCTTTCAACCTTAATAAAGTGGTATGCTGCACTTAGAGGCGCTTCTTCTCCTTCTCAATCCACTGAGCTGGCCAGAACCAACTCTTGAGGGAGTCTATTCCACATTTTCACAGCTCTCACTGTGAAGAAACCTTTTTGTGTTTGGAGATTAAATTTCTTTTCCTCCAGATGTAAAGAGTGCCCCCTTGTCCTCTGTGATGACCTCAGGGTGAATAGCTCTACACCGAGTTCACTATATGAACCACTGACGTATTTATACATGTTGATCATATCCCCTTTAATCTCCTCTTCTCAAGAGAGAATACATTCAGTTCCTCTAATCTTTCATTATAGCTGAGCTCCTCCATGCCTCTTATCAGCTTGGTTGCCCTTCTCTGCACTTTCTCAAGTTCCGCAATGTTCTTTTTGTGAATTGGTGCCCAAAACTGAACTGCATATTCCAGATGAAGTCTTACTTATGATTTGTACAGGGGTAATATGATATCTCTCTCTCTGGAGTCTATACCTCTTTTAATACAAGAGAGGATTTTGCTTGCTTTATTTAATAATATATTAAAAAGTAAGGGTCCCAACACTGAACCATGGGGTACACCACTGACAACCGTAGACCATTCGGAGTATGAATTATTAACCACTACTCTCTGAATACGATCTTTTAGCCAGTTTTCTATCGATTTACATACAGTTTTTCCAAGCCTGTAGACTTTACCTTACACATTAGCTGTGTATGGGGAACTGTGTCAAACGCTTTTGCAAAATCCAAGTATACCACGTCCACAGCCACCCCTCTGTCCAAGGTTTTGCCCACCTCCTTATAAAAAAAAAATTGGACTTGTTTGACAACTTCTGTCTTCCATGAATCCTTGCTGTCTGTTGCTTAAAATATTTTTTTTCCAGCAAGAACTCATCTATGTGGTCTTTTATTAAACTCTCCAGTATCTTCCCAACTATAGAAGTTAAACTAACAGGTCTATAATAACTTGGTAAAGATTTTGACCCAATTTTAAAAATATTGGCACCACATTGGCCTTACACCAATCCAGTGGCACTATGCCAGTCATTAAAGAGTCCCTAAAAATGAGAAACAATGGCTTTGAAATGACAGAGCTCAATTCTTTACGGACCCGTGTGTGTATGCCATCCGGTCCAGGTGCTTTATTCACCTTTATTCTGTCTAAATATTTTTGGATCATATCAATTGTGAGCCAATGTGGATCATCTGGAGCTGTGTCAATACCATGCCCATTATGGACAAGAGCTCCCCCATGTTCCTTTGTATACACAGAGCTGAAGAAGGTATTTAATAAATTTGCCTTCTCTTTGTCCCCAGTCACTCCAATGGCCAGTCATTAAAGAGTCCCTAAAAATTACAAACATGACATATTTGTTATATTTTTAAAATCAACCTTTCATATCACTTTCAATGCTATGACTTGCACCTTATAAAGTTTGCCATTTAGGTGTGGTGGCTGCACTACTTTGCTTTTTTCAGGCTTCTTTTCTGTATTTGCACCTGGTGATTCTGCTAAGACATTTTTTGTCCTAGGGTGACAACACCCATTCACTGTACTGTTCTATGGCGGTGCTGAAATTTCACCTTAGTACAGAACACCTCCCCCACCACATCTCTATAACACAGAGAGGAGGTGTTTTGTAGCACTAATACACTTTCTGATAACAGTTTGGGATAACATTGCAGAGATCACAAGACACAAGATATCACTGGATTTTTAGCAGAATGAAGAGGTATGTTTTTGCACTTATTGAACAGATGTATCAAAACACTTGGTATAAATAACAGACCAAAAAAGAGAAGTTCGTGGTTAGGGTTTAAATGCAAGTCAACATTTTATGTATTTTAGTTTCTCTAGTTGCAAAATCTGCACTGCAGCCTCCAGGACTGGCTAGCTGCATTCCTTCCTGTAAGAGGTTCAGAGCCAGAGATAGGTGACAAATCGTTGTTTTAAATATATGCAGAAAAAAAAAAAAAGCTAACAATTGATTTAACCCGTTTTCTGTTCATAACCCAAATAAAAGTTCAGACCAGTGCGATCCTTTGAGGTAAATTCATTTCATGCTACAGTATTGTTCTCTAACATGATCACAGCCCTGTACTAGACATAAAAAAAGACAAAAGCAATAAAGGATGTGCATAGGCTACACATAGAAATACTTCCAATCACATTTTGACTACCCTTTTTATCTTTAACCATTGAGGACAAAACCATTTTACACAGCAGCCAGATAATGTGTTTTATATTTCATGTACTGTATAATGAGAGATTGGTTCATGTATTTTACTACATTTGCCTGTCTTAGCAAATATCTCTATTTTTTTTCTTTCCATATATTTTTGCCAGATTGTTTTTAAGGTATATGCTTGAAAAGCAAATTAAACCCCAAAATGGACAATTTAATTTGAATAAGGTATAAATTTAGTTTAGGCCTTTCTGTACATTTTGGTACTTTTCTGCTTTAGTGGATATGCCAAAGAAAGGTCTGGTCTAAATTACAATTGCAGCTTTCTAATAAAGGAAACATCTACAACATCTGAATCCTATAAGGGAATTTTGTATTCAGAAAGTCAGATCTGATGAAATCTTACTCTGTGGACTCACACAGATGCGTCCTTTATTATAATTGTATACAAAGTAACAAAATTCAAAGGAAAAGTTTTACTCGTGTAATTCCAAACTGCTGTCATTTTCTGACGGAGGTACAAAATAGTCAGCCGTTTATTTTTTAATCCTGAAGTGGCTCTCAGGGTAAGTAGCTGAAACCATGCTACTTGAACTTGTATTATTTGACTATAGGCTGTACCAGGCAATGAAGGGATAATTATAAGTCATGCAAATAAAATGATTATGTAACCTAAAGGGTCGAGTGTGGTGTCTGTTCCTTGTATGATGTAAGCCTGGTTTAACATACCTGTCGAGATCTGAATTGTGGAACTTAGCTTATTCTATAATGAGTACCTTCTGTATGACCTGTGGTTGTCATAAAACAAATATTGTATTTTATATGGCATTAATATACATGAAAAGTTGTAGAATTTTTAGATAAATGAATGCTGTG